ATGTCTGGCCGGTAAGTTGGTCAAATTTGGTTTTTGTTAACTTACACCTCACTGATACACAGCCTTTCTCTCACTCCTCCCCCTGACACACAGTGTTCCCTCACGCTCTCCCTTGACACACACACACACACACACACGTTCTCTCAGGCACGCTGACATATTCTGACACGTTCACTCACTCCCCCCTGACCCTAAGACGCGTTCTCTCACTCCCCCCTGACCCTAAGACGCGTTCTCTCACTCTCACCTGACCCTAAGACGCGTTCACTCACTCCCCCCTGACCCTAAGACGCGTTCTCTCACTCTCCCCTGACCCTAAGACGCGTTCTCTCACTCCCCCCTGACCCTAAGACGCGTTCTCTCACTCCCCCCTGACCCTAAGACGCGTTCTGTCACGCGACACAAGCGTTCTCTCATGCTCTCATTCACGTGTATTATCGTATGCGTACACTTTGATACTCATAGTTGTTACTCATGTCCTCATGCACTTGCTCTCGCCTTCCGGGCCTTCCCTCACACACACACACACACACACACACACACACACACACACACACACACACACACACACACACACACACACACACACACACACACACACACACACACTCACACTTATGTTCACACTCAAGCTCTTTGCACCCTTCCTCATAGTACTCACTTCCTCACACTTGCCCTCTCATATTGCACACTTTCTCACACTTACCCTCTCATATTGCACACTTTCTCACACTTGCCCTCTTATATTGCACACTTCCTCACACTTGCCCTCTTATATTGCACACTTTCTCACACTTACCCTCTCATATTGCACACTTCCTCACACTTGCCCTCTTATATTGCACACTTCCTCACACTTGCCCTCTTATATTGCACACTTTCTCACACTTGCCCTCTCATATTGAACCCTTCCTCACACTTGCCCTCCCATATTGAACCCTTCCTCACACTTACCCTCTCATATTGAACCCTTCCTCACACTTGCCCTCTCATATTGCACACTTCCTCACACTTGCCCTCTCATATTGAACCCTTCCTCACACTTGCCCTCTCATATTGAACCCTTCCTCACACTTACCCTCTCATATTGCACACTTCCTCACACTTGCCCTCTCATATTGCACACTTCCTCACACTTGCCCTCTTATATTGCACACTTCCTCACACTTGCCCTCTTATATTGCACACTTTCTCACACTTACCCTCTCATATTGCACACTTCCTCACACTTGCCCTCTTATATTGCACACTTCCTCACACTTGCCCTCTTATATTGCACACTTTCTCACACTTGCCCTCTCATATTGAACCCTTCCTTACACTTGCCCTCCCATATTGAACCCTTCCTCACACTTACCCTCTCATATTGAACCCTTCCTCACACTTGCCCTCTCATATTGCACACTTCCTCACACTTGCCCTCTCATATTGAACCCTTCCTCACACTTGCCCTCTCATATTGAACCCTTCCTCACACTTACCCTCTCATATTGCACACTTCCTCACACTTGCCCTCTCATATTGCACACTTCCTCACACTTGCCCTCTTATATTGCACACTTCCTCACACTTGCCCTTTCATTTTGAACCCTTCCTCATACTTACCCTCTCATATTGCACACTTCCTCACACTTGCCCTCTCATATTGAACCCTTCCTCACACTTACCCTCTCATATTGCACACTTCCTCACACTTGCCCTCTCATATTATTGCACTTGTAAATATCTCTTCCGTTATCATCATGTCTCTTGAAGAATCTTTATCACCATCTGTGCTTCTGACCTTTATTTGTTCTCGTCTGCATACGTTCCTCCGCAACCTGTTCTCGCACTTATAGTCAATATCTTGCTTATGAATAAGTGCATATGTGACATACTAATGTATTGTGAATGTTTGAGTTTACCTTGAAAAGCTGAATAGAAAACCACAACCTAACCTAACCTTCTTAGTATGTTAAGATATTACAATTAGTACTGAACCTATATACTGATATTACAGTTTTATAAAAAATAATAAAACAGAACTAAAATATTTAAATAGTAAAGTAACTCAGGATATTGTCAAATTTTGTATAAAATCTTTATTTTTAATAAAACTGAGAGAAAAAGTTAGTGCCTTGAAAAAAATATGGCTTGGAATATGTCACATATATACATATTTATAAGCGAAATAGTGACTGAAAGCAATAAGTCATATATGTGCTGTCTTGTGCGAGAGCAGGTTGCAACCTCGTTCAATATGTTGCAAGCCGTCCTGGTGTTGAGACAGGCTCCTGGCGCCCACTGCAAGATTGCAACACTGATCACGGCTGACGCTTGGCACTGGCGGTGGGCGGATCATGAAGCAATTTAGTGTTGCGTGTTCAGCAACCTTCAAATTACACAATATATGTAAAACTCCTCTATAAAGTATACAACAAATGTGGGATTTTGTACAGCGATGTACATATTTTGTACATCGATAACTGTCCACGTTTTGATGTATTAAAATGCTTCTTTCATAATTGAAAACTGAAATCAAGAAACGATGAATTAAAGACAGTAACAGATAATGTATCTTAGAGTTAATACAAATCTCAAGTCAAACATAGGTTTAGAGAAGGTTGTCAGCTGGGTTATGGCGGTATTGTTTGTTCTTTGTTCATTAGTTCACTTTCGGTTTCTGTGAGAAACATTTTTCATCGGGAAACTATGTAGAATGTTATGTATGGGAAGATGTTCATATTTTTGTTCCCATTCCTCAGAATTGTGGGTTATATACACAGTGCTATATACACATTGTGTATATACACATTCCTGGCTATATATACAGTGTATATATACACATTCCTGGCTATATACACAATGTGTATATACACATTCCTGGCTATATACACAATGTGTATATACACATTCCTGGCTATATACAAAATGTGTATATACACATTTCTGGCTATATACACAATGTGTATATACACATTCCTGGCTATATACACAATGTGTATATACACATTTCTGGCTATATACACAATGTGTATATACACATTCCTGGCTATATACACAATGTGTATATACACATTTCTGGCTATATACACAATGTGTATATACACATTCCTGGCTATATGCACAATGTGTATATACACATTCCTGGCTATATACACAATGTGTATATACTTATTCCTGGCTATATACACAATGTGTATATACACATTTCTGGCTATATACACAATGTGTATATACACATTCCTGGCTATATACATAATGTGTATATACACATTCCTGGCTATATACACAATGTGTATATACACATTCCTGGCTATATACATAATGTGTATATATTGCATGTTTGCTACACACCTTCCCAGGTGTATAACAAACACCTATATAAACCTTGCCAGGCAACATGTCCAGGTGCTTGGGACGATTTAAATGACAGATCAGGTGGTAGTTAGGAACCACGACCCCCCCCCCCTCCTTCCCCCCCCCCCCCCCCCCTCCTCCCCCCCTCTTCCCCCCCCTCCTCCCCCCCCCCTCCTCCCCCCCTCCTCCACCCCCTCTTCCCCCCCCTCCTCCACCCCCTCTTCCCCCCTCTTCCCCCCCCCCTCCACCCCCCTTCCAGTGGGAACTGACGGTTTAGCTGTACCGAGTTCGCTTCCTACTAGCAACAAGTCGTGGGTTCGACTCCCTGAGCGGCCAGATGAATTAAATGTTTACACCCAGTTTACAATTCTTGTGAACACGGGATTGGTTCATTACTGGCTTCCTGTCTCATGTGCGGGTTGACCCCTGTCCTATTTAATAGGATAGTTGACCCTATCCTATTTAAGAGGATAGTTGAGCCTATCCTATTTAAAGGATAGGTAAACAGCGTCATTCCTTTTGGATCACCCCGAGACTGCAACCCGTCCTTTGATAAATTACGTCCCTATTTTACTCGTATGTTCTACGGCCAAATATCGCCGTATTAAAATTGTCAAAAAAATGAAAATTAATTAATTGTAAATTAATTAAATGGACCCAAAGCAGCACATTTTGGGTCCTCTGGAGAGCAGGAAATTCTCCTAAAATTTCATAATGTCATGAGAACTGTTAATTTAAAGTGTCCTCTCTTAACCTAACAGACTAAGCCAGAGGACCCAAAACAGAAAACGGAACAGTAAGCCCATTTTGTGAGCCGCTTTCATTGTCTATTACGACAATTTTTGGCCTTAGTGCGCATACAAGCGAAAAGGGACGTAATTAGTAAGAGCACGGTTTTGGAAATAGAGTTAACATAGAGAATAGAGTCATGAAGAAAGACAAAGAAAGCAATAGTTTCCTATAGTGGCCACTGGATATAGCTACTGTCTCTGTGGACAGTTAAGTATGTTATGTTAGTAGTTTGATGTTGACCAGACCACACACTAGAAATTGAAGGGACGACGACGTTTCGGTCCGTCCTGGACCATTCTCAAGTCGATTGGTAGTTTGATCCTTAGTAGTTTGATCTTTAGTAGTTTGATCCTTAGTAGTTTGATCTTTAAGGGGAATCAATTGCACAATTGCAACAGCATCTCACCTATGCCTTATGCCAGTAGTTTTCACGTCATCTATTCTACAATTATCCAATTACCTTTGCATCACCGCGAATATGCTAATGTAGTTGTATTAAATATTGGAAAATATATTTACTCTTGAAATATAAATGGAGCTAAATCCTATCCCTGAAGCACTCCAGTCCGTGATGAGTACATCTCTCTTGTTCTGCTCGGGGGCGTGGGACGGTGGCTCGGGGCGTGGGACGGTGGCTACGGGGCGTGGGACGGTGGCTACGGGGCGTGGGACGGTGGCTACGGGGCGTGGAACGGTGGCTACGGGGCGTGGAACGGTGGCTACGGGGCGTGGAACGGTGGCTACGGGGCGTGGGACGGTGGCTACGGGGCGTGGAACGGTCGCTCGGGGGCGTGGGACGGTCGCTACGGGGCGTGGGACGGTGGCTACGGGGCGTGGGACGGTCGCTCGGGGGCGTGGGACGGTCGCTACGGGGCGTGGGACGGTGGCTACGGGGCGTGGGACGGTGGCTACGGGGCGTGGAACGGTGGCTACGGGGCGTGGGACGGTGGCTACGGGGCGTGGGACGGTGGCTACGGGGCGTGGGACGGTGGCTACGGGTCGTGGAAGGGTGGCTACGGGGCGTGGGAAGGTGGCTACGGGGCGTGGGACGGTGGCTACGGGGCGTGGGACGGTGGCTACGGGGCGTGGGACGGTGGCTACGGGGCGTGGAACGGTGGCTACGGGGCGTGGAACGGTGGCTACGGGGCGTGGAACGGTGGCTACGGGGCGTGGGACGGTGGCTACGGGTCGTTGGACGGTGGCTACGAGGCGTGGGACGGTGGCTACGGGGCGTGGGACGGTGGCTACGGGGCGTGGGACGGTGGCTACGGGGCGTGGGACGGTGGCTACGGGGCGTGGGACGGTGGCTACGGGGCGTGGGACGGTGGCTACGGGGCGTGGGACGATGGCTACGGGGCGTGGGACGGTGGCTACGGGGCGTCGGACGGTGGCTACGGGGCGTCGGACGGTGGCTACGGGGCGTCGGACAGTCGCTACGGGGCGTGGAATTGGGTACCTGGGATATCAGAATGATCGTCGGGGCGTATAGGGTGGAGTACCCTAGACAATAGGTAGGCGATAGGGAAATAGACGTGAAATGGGCGGGATATAAGCATTGTGGGGTGGGAAACACGGAGCATCACCAGCACCCCGCCCACGCCACGCCCACCCACGCCACGCCCACCCACGCCACGCCCACCCACGCCACACCCACCCACGCCACACCCACCCACGCCACACCCACCCACGCCACGCCCACCCACGCCACGCCCACCCACGCCACGCAGCTGCCAACCTTCACCCGAGGACGAGGGGCCCACAAACTTTATTCATCAGGGGATCGTTTACATTGACGACGTTGCATAACTTTAGCCATTACTGACCCCCCTCACCCGGGGAAGCTTATTTCTCCGGTCGGGGCCTCGTTCAGGCAATTGTGTGTGATGAACGATCACCGCGCCTGTGTTAGGCCCCGGGGGGGAACGGTACGATCCAATAACCTGTCTTGTGATTACAATGGCCTGGATTGTTGTTGTTAGATTCAGCTACTCGGAACAAAAAGTTTCAAAGTAGCACGGGCTATGGTGAGCCCGGAGTGGGATGGGGGGGCTTTTTCAGAATGCCTTTTAATTTTTTTGTGGAAGTACTTGGGGGGTGTTAGTGTACTCACCTGGTTGAGCTGGTAGGGTCGAGCATCAGCTCCTAAGCCCTGTCTTTCCGCCATTCTTTAGTTCACTGCAGTGACTTTTTCACTCGTTTTTCTTTTTATATTCACATTTACAATTGTATATTGAATTCGTTCGACAACTTCTTCATTCGGTGAAAATTTATTTCCATTTATTTACAGTTCTTTGCAAAAAGTTTTTTCTTACATTTGTGTTTCTAGTTGCTACTTATGTTCACTCGTTCCACTGCTCCTTAATTTGAACAGTGCTTCTATGTACTTCGTCAGTCGCCCTTAGTATTTTGTACGTCGTTATCATGTCGGCCTTATGACTTCATTCCTCCAGTGTAGAGAGGTCCATCTTCAACAGTCTTCGTCACTGCTCAGTCCCTCCTCTTGCTCAGGAACGAACCTTGTTCCATAATCTTTTACATTTTTCTAGTTTAGTTTCGTGTTTCTTTAGATATGGGCTACATGCTGGGGCAGCACACTCTATAACAAGTTTCACAAAGCATGAGTACAGTGCTCGGACGGGATCTTGTGTCCAAGTTTCTGGACATATTCAGCATGGCATATGCTGCCCTTCCGTCCCCGGAATTCACAGTTCCTACGACGGCGCTGGAACCAATCGTATTGGCGTATGCCTTTCTATTGGAGACTTTCAGCGCCGTGGAGAGGGGGGGACCTGCTGCCTGGGTAACAGCTTCTCCCCCGAATCAACCTACCCTGGCTTTGCGCCCTGGAAAGGCCACTCCATACCAGGCCGACACCAGAGCGCAACTCGATAGTCTCCCGAGACTGATGGATGCCTACTATGCTGCCCTCGTTATTCTGCTGTTGCCTGGCTCTGATGTTACATCTCCAGCTGTAAGTGTATTTGAAGTTATCTTAATACCACGTCTATCCCCATAACCTTGCATTTGTCAGGGGTTAAAGTCTATAACCATCTCTCAGACCAATGTCAAGTTCACCATGTAATGTATACCACTCGTTCTCTCGTCTGACAGGCCTCATTAGTTTAGCATCGTCAGAAACATGGATAAGAATGAGCTAGTTTTCTCTATTAAATCGTTTACATATATTAGCAACAGGATGGGCCTTAGTTGTGTGTGTGTGTGTGTGTGTGTACCCAAATAGTTGTTCTCACCTACTTGTGTTTGCGGTGGTTGAGCTTCGACTCTTTGGTCCCACCTCTCAGCTGTCAATCTATTGGTGTACAGGGGTCAGATTCACGAAGCAGTTACGCAAGTATTTACGAACGTGTACATCTTTCATCAATCTTTGATGGCTTTGGTTACATTTATTAAACAGTTTACCTTCATGAAAACTTCCCAATCAACTGTTGTTATTGTTATAAACAGCCTCCTGGTGCTTCGGAGCTCATTAACTGTTTAATGCTCCTGGCAGTATGGGTTCGAGTTACTTCTGGGGTGTGGAGTTTTCAGTTGCATATATGCCTGAAGACCATTCAGGCTTGTTCGGATTTCTGTTGCTCACGAGGCCCCACAAAATGAGGTGATTTGATAAAATAACTATGCCTAAGATAGCCTAAAATATGCCTAAAATAACTATGCCGTCGGGATATTGGGCAAATAGCCTCGGCTACTATCATCTTTTATACGGTCACTGATGGTCGAGTGGTTAAGTATCCTGTACACTAGTTGCATAGTGCTCCTGAGAGTATGGGTTCGAGTTCTGGGGTGTGAAGTTTTCAGTTGCATATATGCCTGGGGAATCTTTCTTGTAAATGTATGTTGTTGAATATGACCGAAGGGGTAAGATTAATAATTCTAACACGAATCTTCTCAATATTTCTTACGTTTTTCTTCACTGTCGGGAGTAATTGAAAAATTATCTCCAAAGTTAATTTTTACATTTTTTATTTATGGTCTGACGCCTAGAAGCGTTTCGCAAGACCTCTCACATTTTCAAAGACTGATTTTTATGTACTCCAATTCATGTTTATATTTGTTTTTGGTTGAGTGACAGGAATCAAATCATTGGGAAAAGACAGAACACGAAACAATGGGTATAAATGAGGTATGTAACCATGTGTATACATTTTTTGAGATATATACAAGAGTTGTTACATTCTTGTACAGCCACTAGTACGCGTAGCGTTTCGGGCAAGTCCTTAATCCTATGGTCCCTGGAATACGATCCCCTGCCGCGAAGAATCGTTTTTTCATCCAAGTACACATTATACTGTTGCGTTAAACAGAGGCTACAGTTAAGGAATTGCGCCCAGTAAATCCTCCCCGGCCAGGATACGAACCCATGACATAGCGCTCGCGGAACGCCAGGCGAGTGTCTTACCACTACACCACGGAGACTGCTAAATCTGCTTGCTTCTGTGCTGGTTCGGGGTCTTGAAGTGGGTAGAATGTAATTGTGTGTTAATAGGCTGTTGATTGCTGGTTCTGACTTTTTGATGTGTAGGGCCTCGCTGATGTCGAGCCGCCTGCTATCACTGTATCTGTCGATAATTTCTGTGTTTCTTGTTAAGATTTTTCTGGAGATGGTCTGGTTGTGTGAGGAGATTATATGCTCGTTGATGGAGCCCTGTTGTTTATGCATTGTTAATCGCCTAGAAAGAGACGTTGTTGTCTTGCCTATATACTGAGTTCTTTGGGGCCGACAGTCCCCAGGTGGGCATTTGAAGGCATAGACGACGTTGGTTTCTTTCAAGGCGTTCTGTTTGGTGTCTGGAGAACTCTTCATGAGTAGGTTGGCCGTTTTCTAGTTTTTGTAGTAAATTGTTAATTGTATCTTCTCAATAAGACACAATCTTCTCAAGACACAAATCAGAAAATACAATTACCAATTTACATAACAGCAAGAGAAGCTTTTCAACGTGTCCACTAACACCTTGGACCAAGGTGTTAGTAGACACGAGAATTGTGAATTGTGTCCACGTTAATGGACACAATTTCAGCACTCTTTCACGAGAAAGAGTGCTGAAATTGGCAATAATCTTCTTAACAAATTATCTCGCGTGCCCGTGGGAATTTTCAGCCACAGATTATAATTCAAATTATCACATATGTATTTTACCATTTTCTTTATGGAGAGAGAAAATGTTTGAAAACACTGTTAAACAAGCTTGTTTAGGAAACCCATTTATCTTATGAATTGATTTAAATGGTACAACATTACAAATTACATGTTTTCCATAATTAGTAATTACCAAGAAGTGATACTAATGAAGTAAAACAATAAATAATGTCTTTAAGGAAAATGGAGTCCACCTGACAGACAATTCGCTGCACATATGCGCACGCCTTGTACATATCAGCCTTGTACATATCAGCCCTGGTGGTATGTTCAAGTAACTTTACCAAATTCTCAAAGCTCTTTACCAAATTTGAGCTGGTAAAGCAAATTTACCAGCTCTTCACAAAGTAAAGGTAACCTATATAAATATATTTAATTATGCATAGGTGTGAACAATGAAGGAGCAGCAGCATGTAGCGACCATTGCCTCGTATGATGCATGGAGCTGCCTCATGTGATGCATGGAGCTGCCTCATGTGATGCATGGAGCTGCCTCATGTGATGCATGGAGCTGCCTCATGTGATGCATGGAGCTGCCTCATGTGGTGCATGGAGCTGCCTCATGTGATGCATGGAGCTGCCTCATGTGATGCATGGAGCTGCCTCATGTGATGCATGGAGCTGCCTCATGTGATGCATAGAGCTGCCTCATGTGATGCATGGAGCTGCCTCATGTGATGCATGGAGCTGCCTCATGTGATGCATGGAGCTGCCTCATGTGATGCATGGAGCTGCCTCGTGTGATGCATGGAGCTGCCTCGTGTGATGCATGGAGCTGCCTCATGTGATGCATGGAGCTGCCTCGTGTGATGTATGGAGCTGCCTCATGTGATGCATGGAGCTGCCTCATGTGATGCATGGAGCTCCCTCATGTGATGCATGGAGCTGCCTCATGTGATGCATGGAGCTGCCTCATGTGATGCATGGAGCTGCCTCGTGTGATGCATGGAGCTGCCTCATGTGATGCATGGAGCTGCCTCGTGTGATGCATGGAGCTGCCTCATGTGATGCATGGAGCTCCCTCATGTGATGCATGGAGCTGCCTCATGTGATGCATGGAGCTGCCTCATGTGATGCATGGAGCCTCCCGGCCCACAGTCACCTAAAAATAAAGACCTTGTGTTAATGATATGAATTTCTCCACGTGTGGTTAGAGTTGGGGAAGGGAAGGGAATTGTCGGGAAAGTGCCAAGCCATTACGACTATATAGCACTGGGAAAGGGTCAGGATAAGGATTTAGAATGGGTCGGGGAGGGAAGGAATGGTGCCCAACCACTTGGATGGTCGGGGATTGAACGCCGACCTGCATGAAGGGAGACCGTCGCTCTATCGTTTCTTTCACCCTATGCCTCTGTTACCTAGCAGTAAAATAGGTACCTGGGTGTTAGTCAGCTGTCACGGGCTGCTTCCTGGGGGTGGAGGCCTGGTCGAGGACCGGGCCGCGGGGACACTAAAAAAAAAAAGCCCCGAAATCATCTCAAGATAACCTCAAGATAACCGTCCAGCCCAAGTGGTTGGACTTTGGGATTATTACACCCATTTAATATTGGGTAACTGACGTACTTATCTAGCTGGAAGATCTTACACTAACTCAAAGGCTTTACCACCAACCGGCTTGTGGTGAATATTTGGGCC